CTATCAATGCAATCTTTTTATACCTACTAGATCAACAACCAATTTTGGATAAAAATTCACAACATAATTTCTTAGATTTTGTCACTTAAACTAGGAAACTCTAGTATTCCTGTCAAGGTAGAATAACTTGGGTGTGAATCTATCACACCATTAACATGCATAACTAAGTCTCCTTTAGGATTAGTCTGCTGACTATCTTTCAAATACTATACTCCTTTAGTACTTAGTTAGAGATTTCAACCTCCAACCTTGTACTTTACTCGATTTGGTCACTTTGTACACATGATTTTACTTAACCCTGACATAGATCAACTTTTGGTTGCTTTATGATCAGTATATCCTGACTTGATCCCTATATTGTGATCACTTATAGACGATATAACTCGACTTGCCCCCTATACCGCATCAGCTAAGGTCCTAGAGAAGACTCCACAATCCACTTCAAGAATCAAGTACTCAATAAGGATTTTCAACAAGTTGGACTCTCAAAGCACCATGACATCATATCCTAACAAAGGGATAATCAACTTTTAAACAACCTCACTTTTAGTCATAAGTCAACCAACACAACACAACTTAATGCTTGAAGCATTCTCAACACAATCACCTCACATGTCAACAAACAACTATCAACAACTTAATCATCAATATACATTATCCTAGATCAATATATTAAGAACTAGCACCATATCTCAACATAAAACATGTAATAGATTCAACTAACCTATACAAGTTCAACACTTAGACAGAGAAAACAACATATTTTCATTAAACAATACATTTTGTATGTTCAACACCACTCAACTAGTGCTTAACGTGAATGACGTAGAGAGCCCCTGTGGTAATCATGCCTAATGTGGCTAAACTCACACCCGACCCTCATTTCAGGCAGAAAGTTTATTCATGACTCACGCTTGATGTCATTGCATTGGTGCCCGACATTATTTAGGTAGAGAAATACTATCTTGATCATGTAGGGTGCCACTCAACTTGGGCTCGATGTCACAAAGTCAGAGAGCTCTCAAGGCAACCACATTTGACGTGACCAAATTAGATAGCTCTCCTCTAACTCACACTTGACGCCACCAATTTTGTGCTTGGCGAAAGTGAGGCAAAGAGCCTTTGGCTTATGTCACGCTCGATGCCTTGAAGTTGCATTTGAGTCCTTAAAGTTGTGCTTGGCATGATGATGAATTCTGCACTTGATAGATTCACAAATTTGATTCATCCACACCTGAAACTCAAAACAATTCCATCATCCAGCACCAAAAATAATATATACACTTTACTAACATTGCATTTCCATCCAGAATAACCTGTAACAATCATGTGATCAAGACACCAATTTTCCTCGTTGAGCTCAAACAACCCAAAAGCTCACCACACCAAGTTTTCATTTCAATCACAACACAACCACAAATTCGATTATGTTTAAGCAATATACAACATCATAGAACACAAAAATTGATTTATAGTTTCCCTTACCTCTAAACTCACAAGAATCAAAGAAGAAGAGGAAGAAGAAACTAAGCTCCAAGAACCCTGCACAAAACCAACATCGTTCAATTCTTAGTGTTCCTAGCTTTGAATCCCAATGCCACTCTTATACTTGAGCTCTAGGGAGGATCACAACGCTCTAAAGAAGACTTAGGGAAGAAGAGGTTTTCTTAAGCTCTAGAGCCTTTCTCTTTAAACCATATCTCTAGGTTTTTTTGAGAATGAACTTATAAAACTCAAGTCTTTACGAAAATCTTATATACTTTTC